TTCATTGAACTCATAAAGATTAACAGAGACAATCAGCACTGTTTTCACCATTTCCATATTCACAAACAGTTACAAATCATCCACAGACAACATTTTGTGAAAATTCTAACCTGAGCAATTACAAATCACTTATTTGAATAAACATTAGGCTTTTTCCCAAATCACTTTCTCTTTGGGGAGTATAAAGAGTAGTAAAGCAGGGCCGGGGGCTGTGGCTCACGCCTGTAATCCTAGCTCTCTGGGAGGCCGAGGCGGGCGGATTGCTCAAGGTCAGGAGTTCAAAACCAGCCTGAGCAAGAGCGAGACCCCGTCTCTACTATAAATAGAAAGAAATTAATTGGCCAACTGATATATATATATAAAAAATTAGCCGGGCATAGTGGCACATGCCTGTAGTCCCAGCTATTCGGGAGGCTGAGGCAGAAGGATCACTCGAGCCCAGGAGTTTGAGGTTGCTGTGAGCTAGGCTGACGCCACGGCACTCACTCTAGCCTGGACAACAAAGTGAGACTCTGTCTCAAAAAAAAAGAGTAGTAAAGCAGGGGAGTCATTTTTTCAGTTTTCACTCCAGTTTTACCATTAATGTGAAAGTCATTTTCCAAAAAAGGAGTAACATTGTTTTAGCATTTCTTTGGAGTTACCAATGTCATGTTATGAATGTTAAGAAGCTGGCTCTCACTCTGGGAAATGTAGAATTCAAATTTAAATCAGATTAAGATTATAAAGTATCATGTTTCATGCATCATCAAGGCATCATTGGCATAGTGAATGTTAAATTAATATGTAAACAGATGTAAATTTTCAACAAAAACAAGTTTGTAATGGTCTCTAATATTATCTAGTCTAGTGTACATCCGTAGTTAAGAAAATTTTCAATTAGGAAACTTACTCATTATTTTAAGTGCTAAGACTTCTTGGCTCAAACTATCTGGGCAAAAATCATTTATAAAATGTTTTTTCATTGACCTGTTCAATAAATTGCTTATTTTAAATACAATTTAACTTTTTCTTATTCAATATCACCATGAAGAACATCAAGTTGATAGTGACATCTTTTAACACAGTGGTAACATTGAAAAGAGAACCAATTACCACATAGAAGATATCTCAAGGTGTTTATGTTTCTAATTAGTATTTCTTTAGTCTCTTTACTTTCAATTATCACTTTTTGCCAATGTCACTGGATCTCTTCCAATTGTACCATGGTAATCTATATAAAAATCATTACAAGGCGAAAGGTTTACCAAACGTGCCCTAGCTTCTAAAGAGTAAACTGACTTTACATATACTAAGCCTCTCCTACCAAATAAAATAGGCTAGATTTTACTTATGTTTACTTTCTTCTGGATAGGAAACTGTATTTTACATATTTAAGGTTGCCAATAATCTATCAAATAACAGAATAGGGATTTAAAAGGAAGTGCCTTCAGGGGCTGGGCGCATAATGTGATTCAGTGAAGAGGACAAGAGATTAAGCAAAAGCCCTATCTGAAGGAGATAGCATCTACTCAACTGTGGATTATTGTTCTCAAGCAAAATTGCAGGCCTAGTACTGCCCACCCTTCTGTTTTTTATGAGGCAAGACATCAAGGTTTTTATATGCAATCTGACAACTTTAAATGTTAGCAACTAGGGAAATTGGGGAGTGGCTAAAGGATAAGTCTGTTGGTTGCCAATTAGTGGCCACTGAAGCAGCACTTTAATACTACTACTGTTTCTTAGATTCTCATCTGTACTGAAACACAGAAAACTCTGGCCCTGAATTCAAGTCACTTCTTTAGAGAAATTATTTTCTCAAATTATGTATGGAGGGCTCAGCAAGACTAGAACTAAAAGATTTATCCTACTCTTCTAATTCTGTAATGTCAACATTCTAGATTGGCTTTACCTAATAAATAAATCTGCCACTACCCACACACAGCAAACAATGGCTAATTTATGTAACAGAGTAGGTCAGTAGTACAAACATGAATATATACATTACTAAGTAGATACAGATATTAGCACATCTTACATCTGAGAATGTTACATGAGAAATTTACCATACTTTTTAAATATACACTGCTCCAATCACACTTGACAAGCAAATACGCTGGAAAACATTCAAATATTACTGGGACAATTAGCACATGAGGGGAAAATCAGCATGTGAAGTATTTTCCCAGTATTTCATGATACTATTCATGATCATTATGTAAACTGGTTCTTAGCATATTCTTGCCAAATAGATAGGAAGTTTCTACCATTTTATAGATGAGGAAACAAAAATCAGAAAATAGAATGAGCTGGTCAATATTAGTAAAATGTGGCCAAAACAGGATTCAAATTCAGGTTTGGACTACTAGCCAATATCACCATCCCAATATTTCTCTTAGAGGCTTATGCTAACAAATGGTTTGTGAAAAAGAGTAAACAAAGGAGAAGAAGAAAAGAGAAGTGACAAAATATTATATATTTTGTCATAAAGCCTTAATTACCCAGCTCCCAAATTTATTCCGCCCCCAATTATCCAGCATAATAGTTAACTTGGAATTCAGCACAGAAAACTTGAAAACTGTCACCGATCCCAAAAATAATAATCCCAGTGAGGTGTAGTTAATGCTTACAACTGCCAAAATGCAACATGGCAGTGAAAGCATTAGCAATAATATCTTGAATAACCACAGGCTGTTAGCACTTCCTCATGTAAAAGTAATGATCTTGTTGTGGAGGGTGAAGGTAAATTTTAGAGTTAGCAGTAGAAGGCAAAAAAAAAAAAAAAGTGAGTCGCTAATATTTCCCTATGTCTCACTCTGAAGACCAACATAAATCGCTCAATAATTGCAACCTAGCCAGTTTTTCTCCAGCATTATAGAATACCATCCTGTCTCATTGTATATTTTTTAAAAAATGATAAAAAGAATACCAAACCAAGTAGCTGGCATGCTCACATAAAATTTTTTGAAGCCAGGCACAGTGGCTTACGCCTATAATCCCAGCACTTTGGGAGGCCAAAGTAGGAGGATCACTTGAGGCCAGAAGTTCAAGACCAGGAGAGACCTAGTCTCTACCAAAAAAAATTTTTTTAATGTTTGAAAGACACATATTTTAAACACTAGAATCTTCTCCTCCCCACCCCTGCCACCAAGACAGTGAGCTATTCTTACAAGAGAGATGAAAATAAGAGTGACTGAAGTCACAGCACATTCACTTTCTTTCCTATGTCATACTTACTCCAAAGCACAAACTTACAGAAAGTAATGACTGATAGAATCCCTCACACATACTGATTTTTTTTTTTCTCTTTTAGGGGCAAATTCATATGACTGGATGATTCACCTAAATTAATGTTCAGATTATGGGAATTCACTATACCTCATATAAGACAGTCCTAACAACCTTACAATGTAGTAAGTTAATAAAAGTGAAAAAATGCTAAAAGCTGTTGATGAAACTGAAAGACACTGATTAAGTTAAGAAATACAATTATTTTGTTTAAAAAAGAATAACTAGCAACAGGCATAATAAACACAAGGTTGTGACAAAGCAGCAATTTTAATCAAGTCATATACATGTGGATTTTATACTCTACCTTCATGAACATAAAAAAGAACATAAAGATACATTCTAGAATAATTTTCAAACTGAATTCCACAGTGCCTTAGAGGCTACAGGTCTACAAATAAGTAAACTAGGTCTGACACTAATGTAAGATTATAATTATCATATATAATCTCATTTCAAAGTTGTATTCCTCATAATAGCCTAATTGTTTCCATTTTATTAAATACCCATGACAAATACTATAAACTTATACTATAAAATAAGTACACAACAATAAAATACCATATGTATCCCTTTTATATATCGGGGTCCTCCCTAAGATCTAATTTGCAAAAAAGTTGCTGTTTTTAGAAAATTGCTCTATTCAAAAAGTTTAGAACCTACTGTTCTATGTCATATAAGTCAGGGATATATTCATAATATTCTACTGTCGAAGTCAGAGGCGTGTGCTATACCATTTAAAAAATGTTTATAAGCACTACAATTTAAGCATTGGTGCTTAAAGTATAACTGTTCTGCTATCTGAAACATTATGTGAATAAGAATTTCATTCTCCCACCTTTCTGGATAATCACGGGTAGTATCTCAATAAACCTCTCTATTGCAGAACAATGTTAAGAAAGCTTTTTGAGAATTCTGAAATTAAATTTATAAAATCATTAAGTTTTATTACTTTTAAGTATACCAGAGGTTTAAACTAAGAGTAAAATAAATATAACAATAACACTTAGTTAACTGAAACAATTATTTACTTCAGCTCTGATGGCATGTGAATACATTAGACATTAAAAATAGAGGTATCCAGGCCTACACATGAACTTATTTCTATATTCAAAATCTGAATCGTAATGCCAATTTAAGCAAAGAGTAATTAGAACAAAAAAGTGAAAAAGCATTAAAAATGTGAAAGAGTTGAATGCCAGAAGCAGGCAGCAGCATGATGAGAAAGAATTGGAACCCATAATACCAAAAAAAAAAAAGACAGTATTAAAAAAAATTTCTAACTATGACTTATATAGAGAATTACCATCTTCTCAAAAAGCGTCCAAACAATACCTAACAAAAACCAAGAAAACTCATACTCTTCGTGCAAAACAAGGCTTATTTACAACTTTTTAAAAAAATCTATGTAAATAATATGTTGTTTTAATTTCTACAAATATCAAACATATTAAAATATCCAATATAAAAGAGAATATTAAGTTAATCAGAGCCAGAAAAACATTACTATGATGATCAAATGTTCTAGCAGAACAGAACAGAAATTGGTGAGAAATTACAGGAATTTAACCTTTGACCTACCTCACCATCCTATGTACTGTTTTTACAATAGAGGCTTAAAGGTTCTAGCAAAGATAGCAACTTTTTAGCAAACAAGCTCTAAGTTCGCCTTCCTATGTAAACTCAGTTAAATTCAATGTTTTTTTAACGTAAAGATAAAGAGTACTGGTTCTTACCTCTGGTCCTGATGCATGTGACAAGGCTCCTCACTGGCATATTTGCTGCCTAAGCAGCTACAAAGACCAGGTTAGCAGCCATTTTGAGACAGCTGCACAGTCTCAGTTGCACAAAAGTGTAATTAAAATGGCTGCAATGTGCACTCAAGAACTCACACAGTGAAAACTCAGCTATGTATCAAAGCCCTCCCTCCCCCATTTTGTCAGCCTGCAGGAAACTGAACACAGACAACAGCTAATGCATATACTGCAACAAACAATGCAGCTACTCAGGACACTGAAAAAGAAATCGGAAGACAGCAAGCCAGTTTTGTAACATAATGCCTGTGAATCCGGACTTGCAATACAGACTTTAGGCACAGCCAGATCCCAGACAACTTTAAGTCCATGCCACATATTAGCAGTTACAGAGATAGAGCCAAATCACACAGAGCAAACATCAGGGAATTCGCCTGAAAGAAAGCCTCCATTTCAGTCCAGAAAAAAAATGTTAAACCCTGCTCAAGGCCTTTTTTTTTTACCTTTTATAGTACTTTTATCATGAAAAGAATTTCAATTTTATAATTCTTGAAAGTTAAGCTTAAATCTTGAGAGTCATTTGATCAAGTTAATTTCAATTTATAGATACAGCCAAAGATTTTCTCCACAGAATCTAAACCCCAAAGTGCTCAAATCTAGCAGAATGGTCAAAGCCTATAATCAAATTTCTGAATATTGACAATGGAGTCTTTGCAACTAGTATGGCAACAAAGCTTATTTTGAGTAATTTATCATAAAGATAAAAACACCCCCTTCTCTTTCTTAGTACATACATATGGTCACAAACATTCATATCCCCAGGTGAGTGTTTGGTCTCAGGGCAAATTACACTTCATGCCCTGACATAGACCTCCTAACATTTTGATACAAGTGAAACGCGAATAAAAACAAAGAATGTAGACACTTGAAAAAAGTAGGGAGCACAAAAGAGTAAAATCCAGCCTAAAATTGAGTACATTAACAAGACAAATTTAAAAGAGATTCAACAAATTTGGCTTGGCAGTAACATAGCCATCAAGAGAAAGCAAGGGCAAAAGCACAGAAAGAATGTCAGTGATGGAATCCACATTTTCCTTCTATCTTCCTCAGTCTACCATCCTAAAATTTAGCTACTCTGTGCTGGCTTGTCTATCGCTAAATATAGGTATTTATTAAAACTTTTTCAAGGGTATATGGGGGTAGTAGGGATATAGCTAAAAGGAGATTGGCCCTATGATTTGATAATGGTTCAAGCCAAGCAATGGACACAGAGGATCCATTATGTCATTCTATTTCTATACATATTTGAAACTTTCCTAATAAAAGGGTTTTTTAAAATTACTCATCTTTAAAAGGTCCTTATTTATTTTCCATGAGGCAAACTGGATAATGTAATAACTGCTTTAAGTACTGCATCAGAAAAAAAAGTTATACTTGATTCAAGCCATATTAATTCTTCAAAAATATAACTGATTTTCTGAGGGTGTCTCAAGCAAAGGCTATTCATTAAAAGCAAGATTTGGCAAACTGGGAAAGACTGGAACAGGAAAGACATTGCTGTAGCCCTGGAATCTAAGTTTAACTGCTGGGGGAGGGAGGTTGCACAAATAGCCAAAACCCTCAGAGCTGCCTGATGAACAGCTTCTAACATTCTGGAAGCAGATTTTTTTGGAAGTCTGGTCTACAAAGACTTAAATTATGTAACACACCCTCAAATAGATGATACCCCCCCCCTTTCAAGCTTCCTCCCTTGTCTTGCCCAATACCTTTCCAAAGTAAATCCTGGCTACTTTTTTCTTAGTCTAAACTTAGTCTAACAAGGGAAAGCTGATGGCTACAGTTGAGCATCCCTAATCTGAAAATCCATAACGCTCCCACAAGCATTTGCTTTGAACATCATGTTGGCACTTAAAAAATTTTGAATGTTGGAGCACTCTGGACTTCAGATTTTCAGATTAGAGATGCTCAAACATTATCAATTCTGCAAAAATATCTAAAATCATGAACACTTCTGGTCCCAAGCATTTCAGATAAAGGATACTCAACCTATAGTGGCTATAAGCGCTACTTTTCACCTAATTTAGATTCCATCATTGTACCCTTCCTCCTCCAGCTACTACAATTATCTTACTAACAATCTGCTAAATTTTCTCTACTATATCAACGCAGGTAAGTCAAATTAATAAATATGCCAACTGCCCACCACATGCAAGATGCTTTGGAAGACAAAGGAGTAGAAAGGTACATTAATATGTATCAAGCCTTCAGGTAAGTTTTACATACATTTCAATTAATTTTCACACTAACCCTAAAGGTGAAGTTTTTTCCCCAATTTGTGATAGAGGAAACAGGCTGAGTTGAGGTTAAGTAACTTTATAAAACTGGTAAGAGCTGAAATACAACACCGATTACACTTAGCCCCAGCCCACAGAGCTTTATCCACCCCTTCACACATTGGCTCTGTTTCTGTGTCTGATAAAATAGTTTAGGAAAGAAAAATGATTGCTCTACTATTCAGATAACTGGTGCCACTGCCAACATCCTTCACTCTATGTCCCATGGAAACTATCCTATTTCACCTGATAATCCTACTCATGATTCAACCTACACTACCTTAATCACTGACAATCCTTTCCTTACTCTCCTTTCTCCTTACTATGCCCATTTCCAAATCAGATGTAATTGGTCTCTCAAGACCTTTTATGCATATCATCATTATACTCACCATATTTCATTACTTATGTCTTTATCTTAATTCATTTTCACTCTCTTCCATAACATGAAACACAACATTTGCTCAATAGATGGTGTGCTGAAATTAATTCCCAGTGTTTTTGTTTCTAGCACAAAAATCTCATAAAATTCTACATCTTTAAGAACCTTCATTTTTAGGATCTCAACTCTTATTTTCTAGGAAGAAGTAGTCAACTACCAAGTCAATAAAGTTTTTAGTCTTGGCTTAAAAGAAATCTGCACTTCAGAATTAAAAATGGAAAAAAAGTATCTTTTTTATGGCATTTTCAGTTTTTAGAATGTTTTTATAGGCACTACACAGGAGCTACTATGTGCTTAGACTAGCCATTCTATAGGAAACTATAGAACATAATTATATTTAGCTTTAAATTTTATTAATATTACTAAGAAAGTAGGATGCAGCTTGACTGTATAATGTCACAGATTATCTTGGAAAAAATTTGTTTTTGAAAGGGTCATCTGTAATGGACCCAATAATCATTTATTTGTAAAAGTATACATATTTGGAAACAATTTCTTTTCTTTTTCTTTTCACCTGGTTCTCAGCATGCACAGAAATGATTTCTAATGTTAGATAAACATTTTCATGACTATCCAATGTTTAATCTCTTCCTACATAAAAACTAGCATTTTCACAAAAGTTTTCATTTCACTCTTACAATGACCATCTAAAATAGGAGTGCTACAATCTGTAATTTTTATGATCAGAGAATAATCATTTTCCAGGAGTCACAAGTAGCAATGGAAAAAAAAAACCTAGAAGAGAATTAACTCTAGTCAACTGCTACATTTTTTATATATCACACTATTTGAAAACTTTGCATATGAAAATCCCATAGAACTTAAACGTTTTGCTGTATTTGGTAGGAAGTAAATACACATTTCACTTTTTTAAGTTAAGATGCTTTAATTATGTTATTATTAACACATTTTTTAAAGAAAAAGGCACATTACAAGAATGTTAAGATGATGAAATGAAAACAGCTGATTTCACTCCCTCAAATCCCAGTAAAACTCCAATAAAGGGGATTTTTTTAGGCATAAATCCTAAAAAACAGAAAGAAAAGTAAGAGACAATAGCTACAAAGTAAGCTGGGAAGCTGGAAACCAAGAAGAACCTGAGGTACCTAACTTAGTCCCTAAGACACCCTATTCCAAGGTGCAATGGTGACAAGTTAAGAACCAATCTGTTTTACATGGAAGAAACCTCAAAAGACATGGGAATTAAAAGAACCAACATACCTTTGGAAATTGGGGCAAAGGGAGCAAAGAGTAAGACACTGTGGCTAAAAGAAAAGAATACTAGTGAAAGCTGTTTGGAAAGCAGTAAAATACTCTAGATGACCTTACCAAACATATTACAGTAAATATCTGTTCTCCCCAACCCTAGCAAAAGCCTAAAGTATTATACCAAAAAGAGAGGGACTCAGTGCTGACTGCAGAGATTACCTAGTCCTCTTCCTTCATTAATCTTTCAGAACCAGAACAGACTCTTATTCTCTACATGTGAAAATAGAAGATACTCAGATACTGTAGACACAAAACCTAAGGTTTTGTGGGGAGCTCCCCCAGAATGGCCCACCCAGAGCAGCCTATAGGGAAGTTCAACACTGCCAAATTTAGATATTTCAATCAACTTTTTAATCTTCCAAATCACAATATGCAGTGAGCCAAGGCAACTGAGAAAAGTCTAACATAAAAGACAAAGACAAACCTGCCCACCCCATAAACTACACAAAGCAGTAGACTATGCAGGAGTAAGAAAACTTTCAAAGAAATTAATTGACACAGAAAAGATACTGCATTCTTGAATCAAAAACAGAATACTATAGACAAGAAATTAAAAACAGAAATTAAGAACATGATAGGAAAAATAAAAAATTCAATTTCAGAAGAACTGGATGATAAAAGTTGATGAAATCTACTTTAGCAAAAAGACAAAATCTTATATAGGAGGAAAAATATAATTGGAGTATCTATCCAGAAATTCAAATTGGAATAACAGAATAGCAAAAGAAGGACTTCACCAATGAAATCATGTAAGAAAACTTTCCAGAATAGAAAAACAAGAGTTGCCAGACCAAAAGAGCCAATGAAAGTCAACAGACAATAGTAATCAGATCTACACCAATACATGTTACAATGAAATTTCAGAACACTAGAGATTAATAGAGTCTATGAGCTTCCACTGAGAGGGGAAATCAGAAATAAGAATGACATCAGATTTCTCAGTAATACTAATAAAAGCAAGAAGATAACAGAACAGTGCCTTTAAAATTGTAAAGGAAAATAATTTTAAACTAGATTCTATACCCAGCCAAACTATCAATCAAGCATAAAATAGAAAATGACATTTTTCAAACCTATATGGTTTTAAAAAAATATACCTCCCATGCACCCTTTCTCAAAGCCACCAGAGAATGTGGTCCCCTCCCCACAAAGACAAAATAAGCCAATAAAAAGACATGGCATATGGAAAACAAAGATCCTAGAAGATGAGTGAAGGAAATCCCCACAATGGTGAATAAAATTCTAAAGATGACAGTCATATACAAGATATGAAGAGCAACTAGGCCAGACTGGAGCAATGAATGACACTTAAAAAACAAACATGAGGCCAGCACAATGACTCACACCTGCAATCCTAGCACTCTGGGAGATTGAAGCAGGAAGATCATTTGAAGCCATGAATTAAGAGACCAATCCAGCAACATAGCAAGACCCCGTCTTGACAAAAAATTTAAAAATTAGCCAGGTATGGTGGCGTGCACCTGTACTCCCAGCTACTCGGGAGGCTGTGAACTATGATGATGTCACTCTAGCCTAGGCAACAGAGCAAGGCCCCATCTCAAAAAAAAAAAAAACACCCCAAACATAAGTCAAGATCTGCTGCTACTGGACTTGTGGAAATAACTGTCTTCTAAATTAATTCTTCTAAATAAATATCAAAAGATCCTCAGTAAAGAACTGTACCAAATCATCTTTACCATTATATTATATAGAAGAGACTCATGAATGCAGGTACACTGATATAAAGCTAACATCATCTTCATGAGCAACAACTATTATAAACTGTATCAAGGAAATGGGTCAAGATTTTCATGATTCTGTTGTGCAGAGTAGTCAATTCTGTGTAAGTAGATTACTTAATACAAAACTAACAAAAGAGGAATCACCTAAGACTAAATGAGTGACTTAATTGTGATTAATATTTTGAATAGTCATAACAGAAAAATACTTTCTTTTTTATCTCTAGTCCTTAATTTAATAATTTTGTATAAATAGTAATTTAAGTAATCTCTTGATCTAATATCCTCAGAATTCATGGGGGAAAAATATCCTATGAAAGATCTTAATATAAGTTATTAGCTAATAAACTACCAGTAACATTTTAAGAATGATTCTGTAAAAAAATACTGAATATATTGACTTTGTCCAGAAATTGATTAGATATTTCAATAATTAATATTATATAAAGCATAACTCACTCTTTTTACTTTTTATGAATCAGTTAAGATAGTTTATAAGAATCTGTTTTCCCTCCCACCAGCATAAAATTGGATAAATCAAATTTGTGACCATGACCACACAAGAACTGTGACATTTAAAAACAAATCTCTTAATTAGGTATGACAGGGAACATGGACTACATCTCAAACGTAGAAATTATGCCTACTAAATCTTCACAGGAAAATCAATTTAGTATCTCTTCTATAGCTTATGCATTTCAAGATTTAAAGGGAATAAAGAACAGTACTTCCTAACAGGCCAGAGACACTGACAAATGTGAGAATCTGAGAGAACCAAGATACCCTACAATTATAGGTACTATAGATGAATGTTGATTGAGATAAATCAAATGGCTTGGCTCCTGATTATATAAATAAGCTGATAGATAAATCATAACAATTTACAGAATATCCAGACAGAAGTTAAACTCTTACCCTCATATCATATTGATATAGTTTTGTTTATCAGACAATAGGAAGGTCTTTCTAAATTAATCAATACCTCATTAGACCTATATGAATTAAATGGCCAAACATCAAAATAAACTGAATCAGAAAATCACTAAACAGACTTATACAGCCAAATTTGTACCTTAAGAGGCAGAGAAGCTTGATCACAAAAAAGGTTATGGAAGAAAAATGACACTTTGCCTCAATTTTGGGTGAGCATGTCTAGCAAGAGATTAAAAATAAGAGGGTGGAGAGAAATCCTGTGTAGATCTAGTCCCCAAAATAAATTATTTCATCCCTATCTGGCAATGATGACTGTCTGAAGAAATGTGACAAACCTTGACTGTCAAATCATTTGACAATTTATCTAGTGGATGCCTGCTATTTAAGTAAATTACATGTTCATTTTTTTAAAAGTTCTGAAATCTATGGATGACTTAAAGGAATTAGAATATCTTACTCCGTTTTTGTTGTACCTCCACCTAAAATGTAGAAATTCTGTTCTGTCAATAAGCAATATTTATTGAATATTAAGTTAAGCACAGTGGAAAGCAATCTTATACTTTTAATAGCGGTCTTATACCTGACTAGAAGAAAGTTTTCTTTAAAATGTGACATTTGGAATTTTTCTTTAAAATGTGACATCTACCCAAAAGATCAAAAGTCATTTTATGAAAAAGACACCTGCACGCGAATGTTTATAGCAGCACAATTCACAATTGCAAAGCTGTGGAAATAACCCAAGTGCCCATCAATTCATGAGTGGATTAATAAAATGTAGAATATGTATACCATGGAGTACTGCTCAGCTTTAAGAAACAATGGTGATATACCAACTCTTGTATTTTCCTGGATAGAGCTGGAACCCATTCTACTAAGTGAAGTATCTCAAGAATGGAAAAACAAGCACCACATGTACTCCCCAGCAAATTGGTATTAATGGATCAACACCTCAGTGGACATACAGGAATAACATTTATCGGGTGTCGGACATGTGGGAGGGGGGAGGAGGAGATGGGTATATACAAACACAATGAGGGAGATGTGCAACGTTTGGGGGATGGTCACGCTTGAGGCTCTGACTCGAGGTGGGGGCATGGGCAAGATACATAACCTTAACACTTGTGTCCCCATAATACGCTAAAATAAAAAAAATAAATGTGACATTTGTCAAATTATTCAATAAAATGTAGTTCCTAACCCCAGGAAGCTTATAAAGTACTACACCAAACATAAAAGTGGAAAGAAATAAATGACTTTAAAAGAGATACAAAATAAACCAAAGGGAAATTAGAGAACTTCCAGCTGAGAATAACAACACATTTTATTGGACACATTATTTAATATGTAGGTATCATGGCAGCAATGAGTCTTACCTTCAAAAATCAAGGATTTGTATCAGAGAGCTAGAGTTCTCCTAACCTACTATGACCTTCTTTCTCCCCTCTGAAATACTAATAATACTTTACAATACTAATACTTTACTAATAAATAAATAATGTTTATTGTAATGGCCTTCTAGGAAACTTTTCTTGATCTCTTCCTACTAGTCTCACTTTCTGTGCCCTACACAAATATCTATTGCTTTATCATATTCTCCAAAAAGTCATTTATTTATTAATCAAGTAAATTTTGTCTATAGAGAATTCAATCTTTTTACTTGTGTATAATACAAGGTCCTTAAAAATCATATTTTCTACCATGAAGATGTATATTTTATGCACATAACTTTGAGTGTAAAATAAGCAATTCAAGCAATTGTCACTCATTTTATCCGAAGTCCTTTTTTTTTTTTTTTTTTTTTTTGAGACAGAGTCTCGCTTTGTTGCCCAGGCCAGAGTGAGTGCCGTGGCGTCAGCCTAGCTCACAGCAACCTCAAACTCCTGGGCTCAAGCAATCCACCTGCCTCAGCCTCCCGAGTAGCTGGGACTACAGGCATGCGCCACCATGCCCGGCTAATTTTTTCTATATATATATTAGTTGGCCAATTAATTTCTTTCTATTTATAGTAGAGACGGGGTCTCGCTCTTGCTCAGGTTGGTTTCGAACTCCTGAGCTCAAACGATCCACCCGCCTCGGCCTCCCAGAGAGCTAGGATTACAGGCGTGAGCCACCGCGCCTGGCCCGAAGTCCTTTTAAATTAAGCAAGTTAACCTGCAAAGCTAAAAAATACTACACTGAGTTTTAAAAATTAAAAATTCCAATTCTCATAAAACTTATGATTTAATGTTTTCAAAGGCAAGCAGAGTGGGGAAGAATTCTATCAAATAAGATAAATATTTCTAATATGTGGGACCCTCAGCCACAAATCACAAACATGAAGGTCCAAAAATACCATTTCAAAAGAAGATATACAAAGTTACATCATTAACTGGACCTAACTCTGAAAACAGAGAACCGATTTTTAGCATCCAATTATGAATTACTTTGAGAGACCACTTCTCCAGCTTCCTTATAGCAAAAAATGCTATTCATTAATATCCATTTCTCTTTATTTTATAAAAGTCTCTAATTTTAGCTGAGTACATGATTATCCATTTTGACAATGCATTTCCCAGGCTTCTTTTCCCAGCTAAATATGTCCCAATGACAAAATGATCATCCATAAACATGAGTCAAAGTAAGATGTGTCACTTCCATACCATGCTTTCAAAAGAATGAGTGTACACTCTCATTGCCCTTTCTCCCTTGCCCCTGGCTAGTAATATGGAAGCCATATGTTAAGGCAAAGTCATCAATAAACTCTAAACCATCTTACTCTGTACTGTTACATGAGAGAAAACAGTCGTCATCTTTAAACAATAGTAATGGAGTCTCTTATACTGTAGCAGCTTAGCCTTTACTCTAATCCAGTTTACTTCTGACATTTACCACCTAAAAGGAAATAAAAGACAGAAATCCAAAAGTAGTCCTCCTTTTCCCTTCCATGCTTTTTCCCATTTCTTCCTTCTCTTAAGGCATGCTACCTAATAAGGGTAACAGTACAGATATACTCCTAAGGCTTAGCTGGGAATGAGTAGCAGCAGTCATTTTTTATTATTCCATCAAACTCCTTTTCTCCTGAAATAGCAGATTCCCTCCCCATATTCAAGGTTAACCCTTCTACAAAATGTAAGTCATTATTGTTGAGAATTACTGACCCAAAGAGAGATCATTTTGTGGCTTTGACAGTTCTGAGGATCACTATTCTAACACACAACTAAAATCTCCTCCTAGAATGTAAAAGTGCCATAGAGTGATGGACACATAATTTCTATGTACCCACCAAGATAAAAGTTCCCCAAAGTAGCACAGGGCTATCTAAATAACAAAGGGAAAAAGGATCATATAATAAGAAATTATGACACTACCACCTTACATCACCATCATACAAAGGGTCCTCTCTCCCAAACTAGGGATATACAGTTGGTTATTTCCAGTAATTACATACAAAATGTTTATTATATTCTGAGCAATAGAAAACTGCAGACATGAATAAGTGACTATTTCTGATGGCAAAGTTAATAAATCATCTTCATTTCCCAGACTTCCATGTTTATTACAGATTCAATTATAAAGCCTCAGGAAAGCACTATCAACTGTACCTTCAGTCCTCTCACATTTTTTCTAAAAGGTGGCCAAGGAAATGCCTGAGTCATTTTCTTAAAGACTCTAAAATCCAAATGATCAAAATTCAAAACTGAAAACATTCACACTATATAAATAAGAACTAGTAGCCCTGGGTCCACTGATTATTAAAAGACTGGAAATACTCCCCAGCACTCATTCTCTGTCACCAATACAAAATGGTCACCACCATACAACCTGGA